GACATAATACACTGGAAGTGCTAAGACGAAATGATACTTCGACGATGGGAACGATATTTCGAAAACATATGTATTTCGTACGTATTCCTTGCGTACATTTTCCATCCATATCTACATATTACATATATCATGCATATTACGACATTTTATATCTACGTAAACACCCGGGTCTACAAATTAGGGTCACAACAGTTACTTTACCGCTAATAATTTCCTAACAGAAAAATGAACGATATAACTGTTTATTGTAGGAGTAAATTTATTGCAAATTCTTCAAGTTGTTAAAGTTTAATGGACGCGCAATCAATAATATTCGAATTCATGGAGCTCAGCGGAAATGACTAGATTTTACAAAAGGTTAATGCATCTGCATTCCACGCTTTTATATCACGGGGTTCAATATTGTAGTTATAAGGGACACGTCATACTATTACAATTATGACACTAATAGATTAAGTCTCTTCACTCGAGAAGTGACTCAACCAGCGCTTCATTTAATATAGAATAATTGTAAAGTTCTATATATAATATTAAACTTCGTCTAATATATGAATATGTATTTTTCATTAATTCGTTTCGAAGCATGTCGCCCACATTTCATCGGTACACGCTGAATATTTCTACTGAACTACTTTCGAGTGTGGAGGGTTAGTAGACTACCTACAAGTTCAACATCAAGCATTCTAACCTATTCCTGTCTCTCATAATATCTTTCGCGTGAAAGACAAAATAATAACCGTCAGGAATATGTGTCGTCCGTTCGCCAGATATAGAAAATGGTATCAATACGTGATGCGTGGTGCCGAGCACGTTAAATATTTATCGAACTGGGTCGTTTTCCGTGTTCGCGAAACGGATTCCTCGAAAGAGGCTCGGTACAAGGAGAATGCCACTGAAAGATTTATCCTCTTCCTAGTTACTATATCCGTCGGGTGTCCGACCGTCTCAAATCATTGAATCCAATTCTCATTTTAGTTTAAACGGAATTAACACGACAGACAAAGCGAGCAAATAATTCAAGCGTAAACCAGACATGTTATATTTTCCACCAGCAACGAACCAACTTCCATCGCGCAGAAAACAATTCCACAAAAGTAACCCCGAAGAACCCGTACACGTATAAACACGCGAAGAATAATTTCAATAAACCCCGTGCGCGCACAAGCAAACGCGAAACAATAAACGTTCCGCGATCACCGAAAATCCTTCGGTTTCTTTGCCGCTTATCACTGCCCGCTGATCCGGGTTAAGTCTCCTAAACCGTCCCGGGAAAGGAAGGGGCGTCGCAGAGCGTCCACGGCCACGGTTACGTACCGTGTACACACACGGCCTGTTTTCCTGAAATATGTCGCTGCCCCGAAATTTCTTCGTCGTCCGTGTCTACGACGAGCGACCCAACCCGCCCCCGAACAAAAGAGCACCCCTATCTCGGGGTATCGCATGAACAACCCGAGATCGCGATCTTCCTCGAGGATGTACGATCGCCTACCCCCTTCACAACCCTTCTCCCACCTCCGGCCTCAGCCCGGCCGAGAGAGTTCGTGCTCTCGAGCACAGTTTCGAGAGAGGACACGGTGATGCGAACAAAAGAGACGGCTCTCCGCGTCGGTTCGCCGTGCTCGATCACCCCTCTCATCCTCCCCGCAACTTCTTCCTCCCCCGCTAATCCCTAAAGTCCATAAATACTGTAAGGGAGTTTATTCTCCGAAGGGTCGTTTACAGGATCACAGTTGTACCCCGACACGGGCCGGCGATGACGCTTTAATCCGACCCCGGTATGCGCGTACCGGGGACTGTCGGCGAATTTGCGACAGCGTTTCGGTCCGCCGATAACGCTTCAATTACTGTCGCGCGGCGAATTCATTCGGGAGGTGGCGTCAGCCCGTGAGAACCGTGATACTAAAAGCCCGGTGTTCGCGCCGTGCTGTGCCGCGTCCGCGACGGTTGGTTTGACGAGGAATGAGGATCGATTACGCCGTCACCGACATTTCCGCGGCGGGACACGACGAGATTGTGCAACGCGAGCGCCGCGTGAGTAACGCATCTATTCCGGGCAAAAGTATTAAAGACGAACGTTGGTGTACAGGGGACACGTAACGATCGTCGACGGGCTAAATCCGCGCGGTGCCGACCGCGCGAACGTCAAACCAGATGTTAAATAGAAAATGGCAGTACGGGCCGACCGGGGGCGTTAGAAAGCCGCTCGTTTCCAGGACGACTCCGCAGTCAATTGTGTAATGCAAATACCGTCATGTTCGGGGTTACGTAAAGCGTACGTAAAACATGATCCACGCCAATGATTACAAAGCGCGGCCGGGAATACCAATAATGCACGACTCCTTGGCACGTTTCACGGTTGATCTGAGGACAAATCGCTGCTTGTTACCGCGGACCTATTGCGGATTTTCTGACTTTCTTATTCCCCGCTTCTATCTTATTCTGCCTCGCTCGCGTCGATCGCCCCTCCGAACCCGTCGCGGACGCGTGGAATCGTGACCCCGTTATCGAACGAGTAGCACGGCGTAATCGCACGCCCTGTACCGGGAGAGCATTATCTGTGCACGCACGGGCGAGAGATGCCGGTCAGCTTTAACGCCGCGCGATCGGTCCGTCGCTCTCGAGTTCCAAAACTCTGTCGTCGTAGGTGAAACGCGACTCGCTCGGTCGACTCTGAATAGCGTTGCTTACACCCGGGAACGTCAACACTCGCGCATCCGGAGGCAATCTCGGCTCGGCCCCGGCCAAGTTTCTAACGCTTCACAGTTCACGGGACTACGACAATCGCGAGGCGGCGTTACACTCGGTTCCACGGCATTAGCGCAGCTGCCTGAAACGAGATTTCGGGGGATATTCCCGCGGCGGGACGGTTCGGAGCGGGGGGGAGTGGAGTAGGTGGCCCCCATTGTCAGGACGAGTCCGTATTCACCTTAACCTGCGTGAACACTCGTTCTTCCATTCACTATTTCACGGTCCGTCCGGGGGCGAAAAAAAACCGAGTAGCTTTAAACAGGCCTCGGAGGAGGTAATAAAGCGATCGACTCATCCGACGACGCGTCGCTCGCGCGAACTCTATTCGAATATTACGACCTGTCGCGGTTACGCAGTTGTTCGCGATTATCCGCGAAAGTTGTTACTTCGGAAATGTTATTTTAATTTCGTTAATTTCACTCTGCGCAGAAGAATGTTTCGGTTTATTTTTACGAGCGTATCGCACAACATGGTGCACGGTTTCGTAATTGGTGGGCATTATCGGTGGAATATTTTAAAAACTATTACGGCACGTCCGTCGAAGCTTAATGCTTTAATTGCGAAATGTTTTTACACCGGAAAGTATGGATATAAAAGATACAACCGCATATTATCTCATGATTATTTGCTTACTGGTTTTAATCGGTTACACGTGTTAATCTGGATTGTATGAAAGCTTAAGCATTCAATCGTAATATTTCCATTAAAATCGCGGGGATCATTGTCCGCCGTGAAAATGATCGAATGTCATAAATTCTCGGTATAATTGGAAATAAAATCCATAAACGAGGAGGGACGAAGGAAGGGGGTAGCATTATGTGGTAAATGCTAAAAGCGAGGCGCGGTTGTAAGCTGTTTTTCACCGTGCGTTTGGATTTCTAATCATGATCCGTCGCGAACAGGAAAATAAGGAATACCTGAATGCAACAAGATAGCAGAAGGTACTACACTATGGGACACCTAAACCTTTGCTCCGGACTGTAACACTCTTTCTAGCACGATCGTCACAGAGTATTAAACGGCCGGCTGGAAAAACCGCGGCCACTTTACGACGTTGTCCGAGTAACTGCCGCGTTTACGATTTTATTGAAGCCGGGCCCCGCGAGCACGTATCGTCTCGCGAGTCACGCTTATCGCCCCGCGAGAAGCGAAACTTCGACCGATTCTGGGAATTATGACGGCGGATGTGACCACGTTGAACCCAGCACCGCTTATTTCACGATGTAACTAGATATGGGAGAACAACGACATGTAAAATCAGAAAGTTTCCTGGTGAGATGAAACTTTTAATACGTTCCTCGGCGGTGACTTGTGCGTTACGCGTCACTCGACCGCGACAAGACGTCTCGAACATCTGCGGCCGGGGAATTGAGACTTACGTGTACGATGATTAGCTGTTTCCCCTTCCGCCAACGACGATGGAGAACGACGATAGAGGAAGGATGAGTAATTGTTCGCGTTAACAAGAAAAGTGTAGAAAACAGAAAGTCTGACGAATTCATGAATGAAATAGAGCAGGAAATTATAACACTCGTTTTCATGTTACACACCTGTAGAGTGTCTATTTGAAATTTCTTTATCACCGAATCTTTATTCGCCGAATAAATGGATTTTATGCATTATACCTAGCACGTATATATAGAATTAAGAGGAACGAGACTCTCGTAAAATCCCGAACGAACGATCAACGATCAATATTAATTACCGAGAAAGAAGGTCCGAACATTTCAATTCACCTAAAGACCCCTAATCCGGCGATAACACCCGACGCGACCGAATATTCCCAGACACAATCGATCACTTTCTCCGAAAGTTGGACGTCTCAGCCCACGGGGTCGAAGCTGTTTCTCCGTTCGTCCTCGGAATAACTTCATTTACGGAGCATTCTCGCAAGGATGCCGGGCCATATCCATACCTGGCCGCCATGAGCCGACACCTGTGCGTGGGAAAGAATTTTCTTTGTCTCGGTGTGCGCGCCGCGGCGATCGAAGCGGGGCCGGCGTTACACGATCGCGTGGAAGTGCCCTCCATCCGAGCGTTGGAAGGGCCCACCGCGGAATGACACGGCGGAAAGCGAGCGGATAAACGGCCGATACGATCTAGCGACGGCGATATCGATTAAATATCAACGGATCGTAACGCCGGCATGTGTTTACGGTTACGACGGAGGGGAAATAGAGAAAAACATCGAGCAGGAGAGAAAGGGACACGGTCAAAGAGGAACATAGAGCGTACGGCAGCATGATACTCACGCAATTTTTCCAGGGTACTCGCCTCTCGTCCCGAGTCGCTGACGGGTGTCTGCAACAGAAAACGACCTGGTCATTAACGCTGTATCGGGCAAGGGACCTGCGGACGAGACTATTTATACGGGCCGGCTCGGCTCCGCTCAGCTCCGGTACGCGTATCCGCGCGTGTACCCGGGGCTCGCGCGTCCCCGAGATCGAATCTTGAAACTCGTTCGGGTACACGAGCAATAGGGACGGTTAATTTAAACGCGTTCCCTTTAATCGTAGTATTTATTTCATTATAATCCCGCCTCGGATGGTGGTATACCGTCCCATTTGCGTTAACTGCTCACATTACCTGCGTACGGTCGAAGGATAATTCCAGCCGTGCCGCGCACGGACCGTACGCTAGCCGGCGAGGCGAACAACACGGGATCCGTACAACAGGTGGACCGAAGAAAAGCATCGGGGCCCTCCGCCGGTGTTCATGCCGCGGCGCCGCGCCCCGTTTTCGTGTCCGAGAAACCAGGGCCCCGCCGGCCGATAGCCCCATCCCATGCCGCGCGGCGAGGTGCCTCTATCGGCCATCCGCGTCCAAGATACGGGAACGTTGTACCAGATTATCGTAAGGTTTTGCATTCGAGGGATTTCACTAATCCATTCTCCCATGCGTAATCCCATTATCGGGCGTTTTCCTTGTGCTAACGCGACCGCTTTCGATTCGCCCCCTCGCGCGACCCCCGGCGGAAACCGTGTTAACCGTATATCGTCGTCGCGGTGAAAGTTCCGGGAGCGAGACAGTCGGCCCGGTTCCTACGCGGCGCTTTTTAATCGTAAAAGCTTTTTCATCGATTCAATTATAACGAGAACGGGAATTGGCCGGACGAGGTCCGGCGCGGCCGGTGTTCGAAGAACCGGGCGTCTCGTTTGTTCCGTGCCGCGTGCTGCGGGGGGTTGCTCGAATAACCGAAAAAAAGTGCACCCGAACTAATTTCGGTGAAATATTCGCGCGCGTCCACTCGTCGCGGCCGAGGTTCTTGAAAATCGTAGCGGTTTATTAACCGCTTCAGAATTTCATTCGATCCAATTAAAAAGTATTCCGTTGGCAGTTCTGTTGCTTCACGGTTCGGATCGAAATTTATGTGGGGGAAACGCACGACGGCGGGGCCGTTAGCGTTTAACTATCGGGTGAAACAGGTTTTTAATTTTCTGTTCCAAGTTCACCGAGTAATATCGACCGCCAGAATTTCTTCGGGCGATAAATGTAATACGCGTTAACACTGTACGCCCGTGATCGTGACATTAGCGAATTAGAGCGTGAATTTATTAACATCGCTGGCTTGTGTTTCATCGCGGAGTGGCGGCCGAGGCCTGCAGCAATTAATATATTACCGTGCACTGTTCTCGGTTTATTAAAGGTACCCGAACGAACGGCGTTTATTTTTTTCTGCCACGGTCAGTTAAATTAATATAAACGCTCGGCTCGCGCGCCTTCGAGGATGCCCAGTCGACGACCCGCTTCGACTCGCCCCGCCGTCGAGCGCGTAGTAACATTTTACATAAATCAATGATTAATTCCGTGGAATCGGAGCGGCGAGCCGCTCCATTGACCGCGGGAGCAGACAACCTCGTGCACACACGGTACGAACACGTGCGCGCGAGACTAGCGTCCACGTGGCGGTATCGGCCCGGCACCCGGCTAACAGCCGTACCCACGCGTACCAATTGTGACACGTATCGAATGCATTCATTTCGCGTAGGTAACGTCTCACTCTCGACGCGCGCGACGCTCGGGAGAGCAACGGCGATCCGCAAGGGGAAGGAACTAGAGGCGGCACGGAGGAGAGAAGGACACGCATGCACGCGTACGCCGGGATCCCTCCGCGCGCTACACACGTAGGTATATAAAGGACTCGAGGGACCAACGGCCCTTTCGGAGAGACCCTCCCTACGGGGCACCCGAGATCGACTCGAATCGAAAGGGAACGCAGCCTGGGCCCGGGTGTGGTGCCAACTTAATGAGGGACCACCTAGCTCTAACTGTTTGTTTTTCGTGGGATCTCAGCCCACGAAGAAAATACCCCGGCGTGATCGGGCCGTCGCGCCGCGGCGGCCGATCCCGTTTATGGCCTTGTATCGCGAACCCCATTTGCCATAACTTCCGCGATTTGGGCGTGAAATTACACGCGGCGGAATCGACGCGGGGAACGCCGATAGTTCGATAAAGATTCGCCTCCTTTCTTGATTCCCTTCCCATCCCCCTCTGCCCCTGTCTTTTTATTTTTTTCTCCTCGTTTCTTTCTTCTCTGCCCCCCTCGCCCCGCTCCTTGTTCACATTATTCTTCGACCCGGTCGTCTCTGTGTTCCCGGCGCGGACTCGATCGACCGGAATACGACGCCGATTCGCCACGCTGCGTTATCCGGTGGTTCGACGATTCCTCGTGACCGACGTCGTGATTCATTTGTACGCGGAAATGTTCAGCCGAAACTGTACTATTCTTTTTCGATAGAAGACGATTCGTTGATCTTCGTAGTTAACGGATGTTTTGCAAACTTTTCTCTTAATGTTTCTAGTTTTCCTGCATCTTTTAAGAGTTTACGATAGATACAGCATGTTTATGTGTTTTTGATCTTTGGTCGTGTGTATTTACGAATTGAATGATTTTCTAGCTCTGAGAGAGGGATTTTACGGAACGTGAGGCGGCGGTCTGACCATTACGGTGACCATCGTCGAATCAGTCAGCCCATAAAGTTAACGGTGAGGCTAAGGGCGGTGTACAACGCGAGCCCGGCCGCGTTCGTTAATTCGATGGGAGACACCGTTTTCCGTAATTCGCGGCCATAAATTAATCCCGGCCGCGTATTAACGATGCGCAAATTACACGCGCGCCCGAGATATTTAATCCCGAAGACACGATGTAATTATCGTGGGTCGCGCGACGACGCGCAATTTTTTTCTGTTTTCATAAATGGATCCCGGGCTAACGCGATGTAACGCATTTATAACGGTGGTTCGATGGTAGCCCGGTACACGGAGACCATGGAATTACCGGGGCTCCTAATGTCGTGTCTTTCGCTCTTGCCTTTTTTTCCTTGTTTCCACGACACGCTCGTGCAACGACGGCTACCTTGCTCCCTTGGCGCGGACTTTCACCGTTGTTTTCTTCGGGCTACGTCGCGGCCGAGCCGGCTGGGAATCCTCGACGCTTTATCACCTTCCAAATGTATTCTTGCGCAGTTTTCCCGGATTTCTCGCGTATTTGTCTGTTTCTTTTGTATCTTCCCCGGCCGACCCACGAATACATTTGGATCCGTAATGCGAACGGTACCGGCGGAAATACATACTTCGGGAATGTTTACTTTGAAAAACTCGGTCTTCGTGTAATCTTCGTATTGTGACGTGCTTTCGTGGAATTTTAATTCGCAGAGATACCCTTGCGCGGGATCATTAATAACAACTACGCCATTCGTAATGTGACAGGAACGAGCTATTCTTCGGAGCAACGTTGAAAGTGAAAGATTGGAAAGCCGAATCAATTTCTTTCGTCCGATTATAAATCAACAATGTTAATATTTATTGCAGCGGTTTATCGTCTTTATTTCTCTTCTAAAAATTTACTTCTAAAAAGTCGAGAAGTAGAATCAGTGGGTTCATATTATTCGAGAAAGAAGGAAGATAGGAATTATAGACCACCCATAGGAACGATTAATCCTCATGAACGTCATTTCAACCTGTATATGGAACGACATTCCTCTTTATTTTTATGACTGAATGCTCTCCTTGTGTAATTATTATACAATCACCGCGCGGTACATAATAATGAAATATCATGGACGTAATGAATCCCGAAAACTAATCAGTTAGATTCCGTACAGGCTGTAATTAGAGACAATTATTTCGCCGCAATATCGTCGGAGTATTTATTAGCGTAAGTGGTCGTGCACGTTGCTTCCTGCAGGAGGGCAACCATTCCGAGCGCGCCGCGATCCATTCCAGCAGACGATGTATCGATTATGCCGTCACGTTTCACGCTAAAAACGATCAAGTGCCGCTCGGGTATGAATACGTCCCCGTTGTTTGCGGTTCGACTGACAACGATACCGTCGCCGAGTCACGGGACGCCGCTCTATCGTTGCATTCGGTCGTTTTTTCTCGAGATTTTAAGTCGATCCGGTATTTCCTCGTTACATGTCAACGACACATGTCCGACGAGGATTATAAAACAAGAGTAAATCTCTTTTTTTCTCTCTTAACATTTTATTAAAAATTCACAGCATCTCTTTCTTACATTTCCCTATTTTTACAGTCGCAATGGTAGTACCATTTGTTTGACCATCGATATTCGATGTTCGGAGTAATCGTGTACTTACAACGGAACCAGAATTCCTATCTCCTGTAATAAATAATCGATAATAAAATAATCCCGACGAGCGCGAGTGGTATCTGAGGCAAGAGGTTAATAGAAAATCATCAATTAGCGGGTATGCACGGCAAGTAAGTATTCCAATGATGCGTAAAGTCGGTAATCCGAGTACTAAAACCTCGATTAATCCAACTGCGCCTCTTTAATAACATTCTATAAGCCGGTAGTCGAGCAACGCCGATTAAATTCGGAAGCCGGATTAAAATTTCACTTCGCCCGATGACGTAGACGAGGACAATCGCGAAGAATGACTGGTATATAGATCAAATATACTTCGAACGGGGCGGGTGGTAGCAGAAAGGTCAACTCGCGCGTCGGTTATATCGGTTGCCGTGAATAATACACGGGTCTTGCCGTTTTATTTGTCGTTGACAGCTTCCACGAGATAGCACGGCAGAAGCTGGGCCCGGTGTGTTTGGCTATTCGGCACGATCGCGAGTATCATTCAGGATTTTTGCGCGTGACGCCTCGGATGAAAAATGTTTCGGGAATTCTGTGAAAAATGTCCGATTTCGGCCGGGATTTTTTCGCGTCCGACGGGAAAAATTGATTAATCAAAATTCCTTCGATCAACTCCGATCGGGAAGGGTATACCATTCGGCTTTTTCAAAACCTCTTTTCCATTGTTGTATTCGTTTGTTTGGACTCG